TTTACTGGCCCGGATTGTCGCATTAACGTGAATGAATGCGCGAGCGATCCGTGTACCGGAGGTGCCACCTGCGTAGACGGCATCGCGAGCTACTCGTGCATTTGTCCACCTGGTAGAACCGGTCCGCGATGCGAGATCCGGACAGCTGGTGGACCCGGTTGCACATCCGCTACGTGGGAGGATGAATGCAACGTATGCGAGTGTCGGAATAGTAAGAACCAATGCAGCAATGTCTGGTGCGGACCGGGCAACTGCTTGAACGGCACCTCTTGCTTGGCTCACGAGGTCTGCGTTCCTAGTCCGGGGGAGAGTTGTCTAGCGCCACCGTGTCCAGCGTGGGGCGAATGTCGTCCTATCGAAACTGGCAGACGAGTTGGTCCACCGGCGCTACCAGCTCCTCCATCTTGCTGGCCCGGACAAACCACACTCGGTCCAACTTGCTCGAGACTCACGATACTACTGCGGAGGGATACCCTGGCGTCTGGCACGTCAGTGGAATTATTGTGTCGTCGTTTGAGGAAACTATTGGCCGATCCACGAAGACCTCAATCGGTAGTGTTACTGTGCGATCTGAAACCCGGTGACAACGATACGATAGAAGTGACCATTTTCTCCGAGGCGGCAGCGGACGCGGCCCGCGATCTCGGCGAAACACTCAGTCGTCCACTAGCCAGACCTCTCGTATTAGTTTCTGTACTAGAGGTCAAAGTAGAGACAGCGCTGCTCAGCGAGCCTAGTTTGGCGAGTGCGGCTAATGCCAGTAGCTACGTGACTGTTTTGGGCAGCGCTCTGGCGATTGTGCTGTTATTGGTGCTATTCGGTAGCCTCTGGTACCTCAAAACTATGAGGCATAGATCGAACCTGACGGCGACTACTAGCAGCGAAACTTCGTTACACCGTCATCGCAGCGATCTAGACGAAAAGTCGAATAATCTTCAGAACGAGGAGAATTTGAGGAGATATGCCAATCCTCTGAAGGACCAGGATTCTGAGCCCCGCGTGTCCGTTGTAAGGCCTCTGTCAGGCACTTCGCTTGGCACATTAACCGGCACCGAGGAGAGTCTCGAAATGGTATCTGAAGAAGGCAGACATCGTTTGCCACCACTCTATAAACCGCCCAGCGCGGAAGCTAGGAATAATACGGCCAGTTTTAGCTATGAAGAAGGACCGCATAAGCCTTACATCAAGCCCAGATTGCAGGAACCAATGTACCCTCATCAGCAACCAGGTACCAGTCAGACGTCGGGGCCGCATCAAGTGCTAACGGTACACGTGTGATTAAATATCATTAAAGTAATGTGAAGAACAGTGATTTTTTTTATTTTTCTTGCATATATGATGCACTAATGAAAATTCTTAGAGACTTGAAAGGTAATGTGAAAGGGACTGAACTTCACTTGAACGATCTATTTTTTTGTGATAATGGGAAATGACTTTCGATTTCGAGATTAACTTGAGATGGTTCTTTTCAGGTTCTTCTTTATGAAAGTTGAACCAATGTTAGAATATATTAGGGACAAATGCAGAGAAAAAAGAAAAAGGACGATTCTATAGGGCTCAGCAATACCATTATGTTATAAGATAACACATAAATTTTCAATGCCTCTCCGAAGCACATTTTTTATGATCGCTTCATTTATAGTATTATTAGAATATGACTATTAAAATTTTCAATTTCTAAATAATTATGAAGTAATTAGCAAAAATATTAGTACTATTTTCAGGTTGAAAAAATTTAGAAAATAATTAAAATTTATTTCCTTTTTTTTCCTTATTCGGCCCTTTCATGCTTTTATATGACGACAATAAACGATTGACATTTATAAATAATTTTAATGATAATGATCAGTTGTTATCGTTGTACATATGTACATAGCTCGTACTTATTAATTTCGCTAAGCCTGTATTTCCTCCGCATCATCTTCGGCGTTGCCATTCTTCTCTCCTGTACGCGCCCTCGATTTTATATGTTTATATTTAATCTTATACTCTTTGATATTACTTTATATATCGCCATTGTTAGCATTTTTATTTTCATAATTTAAAAAATAGGATGGCATCGTCGCACCTACGAGATGTATTGTACGTTTGTCATATGTAATTGAAGCAAAGCTGCGCTTTATTCAGGATCAAAAGATAGTATGTAAATAAATTTGACAAAAAATACGAAAATTTCTTTAAGTATCATTTATGTTTAATATATCGCGCAGACAATCGCTTGATCATCGTACGTGAAAGTATGCTTTGTATGATATAACGTGGGCTTCAAACGTTCCTTCAGACGATATTATTGTGATACTCATAGAAGAAACAACATTATTGTATAGCATTACTATGGTACTCTGCGTGTTCATTTACTTCACTTGCTCGAGTTTTATTTTTTTTTCGCGAAGACACGACACGTGATTTTTATGCGATGGGAAATATTGTCATTGCGAGAGAATGTGCTACGATACGCTAAATCGCGGCGGCACATTGACTTGTAAAGAACACGTTTGCGGCGTAAATGTAATATGATTTAGAACGTACTCGAACGCAGAATAAAAACGATGTACATAGTGACGCTATTGCATCGTGGAACGATGTAAATAAATCTAAGTACACATGTCCAAATCGTTTTCATCCCGAGTCATTATCGACCCACCCTTAGATGTGCAATTCGTTTTTTTTTTCATATTAGCATTTTTCGTATTCTCTAGCAAAGTGTCAACAGACTAGTTTAAACTGAGAAACAGCTCGTTTTAGGCATACATAGATTTACAGCAAGAAGGAACCAAGTTTTATAATAAATACTTTATTTTGTAGAGAAAGCTATATTATTGTACGAATACATATATAGAAGAGAATGAGAAAAATGAGGAATATATATATATATATATATACAAATATATAATCATAAGCAATAGTTGATCATTGTCATACAATTTTTCGTTCACTCGTCGTCTTCGAAGCGAACGACTGTATTAAAAATCCGGCACACTAATGCTTTTGGTCTAATTGACGATAAACAATTAATTAAGAAGTATCCACGTTGTGATTATTCGTGTTTGATATCGAGAAATGTGCAAACGAATGCGTGTATATAAGTTCCCTCCTACTATCCCCTCTTCTCACTCTTCCCCCACATAGGTTTATGACGATGTGAAGGATTTCAATAAAAAGTACAACCATTCGACATGGCGTTTACGATTTATTATACCTTTGCGTCAATGCGTCGATGACAACGCTCACATTCCCGGCATTGAAATCACTGACAGAGAATAGTTAAACGTGAAAGAACAAAATTATATATTCTCGCAACAACTTCTTCCGATAATAAATATCACAATATTTTACATTTCATTAACAGAGCCATTTTATATATTTTTTGTTATTTTTGTAAAGATGAGAAAAAATTATGATGAAGCTGTTGGAGTTATCGAATTATCTTCATTGTTCGCTAGCCAATTAAGAAGTCATAAATTCATTTGCTTCTCTTCAGAGATAGAGATACGGGCGGCGGATTTTATCAGCGGCGCCGATTTCAATGGCCCATCACGATTGTTTCATTAGAGATAATACCGATGCCATTACCATCGAAAGTGCGGCCGAGATTAACAAAGCGCTTGGCGGGTCATCTCGTCGTTGCCGCGACGAGACGGGACAGATCCTCTCGTGCACGAAGCACGTACCGTTGAATGAATGATCTGCCGAAATTACAATACAATGGACCAGAAGAGCCACTTAACAAATACCCGGTAGATGAATCATGCACGATAAACGATTTGGCTCGTGTGAAACACGATAGTAGCCGCCGATCGCCGCAATAGCTTAGGGTAACTCCGGTATATACGCCGCACCTATCAAAAACTTAATTTATTAAGTATTATTTACTATGTTTAAAGTAAACGAACTATATTAGTAAAAACTTAGTACTGTCTACTATTATGAAAAAAAAATATTAGAAATCCGAAATATTTATTTTTCATATTAAAAAATAAACTTTTTGAAACCCTTGCATTTTTACCGTATATCCCAAACGGTGTTCATAAAAAATTTATAAATAATGCATATATATATATATATAATGTAAAATGACACGTAAAAGAACTTATATAATGTATTTATAGTTTTATTAAGGAATAAGAATGGTAAATATGTATATGAAATAATAAATAATAATTACAATTTTCCTACATATATTACAAATGTTATGACAAGAGGTACACATTTCATAATGCGTTTATTGCATTTAGTGCACTGAATTCAATCTGCGCACTTTGTATGCTTCGGACATAAATCCCGCTCGCTAAAAATGCCGTATATCCCAAATAGGTGGGATATACAAGACAACAAACTAAACAAAGAATACGAAAGCAAAGCACTTGTATTTTGCTATACAATATGCTTTACTATTCCATTACACGTATGTATCACGAAATAACGACTAAGGCCCAGTTCCACAACTCACGGTTAACTCTTAACCGAAGTTCAATTTATTTCTCATCTCTTTCCAATTCAAGAATTGGAAAGAGACAATGAATAAGTTGAACCTCGGTTAAGAGTTAACCGTGAATCGTGGAACTGGGCCTAAGTCTTTTACATGCCCTACAGTAATCATTTTATGTAGATTATAATTTATGATGGCGTTACTTATTACAGAGACAAATCAATTCAACTCACAATAATTTCGTTAATATTAACAGTAAGAAGTTGAAATCATAACACAATATTAATATAACATAAAGGCATGTAACAGAGTAGTTGCGGGAAAATTAACCCTACTCCTTCTATTTTTTCTGACTTCTACGGCGTAAATCCCAGCGCGGCGTATTTGCCAGAGTTGCCCTATTATATACCTTTTATTACTTGTAAAATACGTGTATTATTGTGAACTTACGTATTATTTCAAAAACAAAGAATTTATTATATTATATTTAATTAAATATTACATTTGTTTTAATATTATAATTATACAACGAGTCATTTAATTTCCATAAATCTGCAGCTAATTTCACGTAACGAAGTGTTGTAAATTTAAGAATCATGTGTTATGTATATCTTGATATAATGATATTTATATTTGTACAAATTTTCATTGTATCACCAACTTCATTGAACGAATAATAAGTATACCACCCATAAATATGGATCTCACACAAGTATTTAAGCAATAATGTGATTTCTATAATGTTCCGATATACTTTCTTTTTCACAACTGAAAGAATAAATATATTCGAACAATTTTTATATATTTTAAAATAAAATCATATGTGATGTCAAATTAGTAATTTTAACGATAACGATTAAGATATAATTACAAATAACCATATATAAATTTCGCAAACATTATTCAGATATTGGAAGACATCGATGATGTAACCGAGGCATTGCAAGATGAAGAAGCAGATGCGTGGACCAATTATGATGAAGATGACACTGAAACCGTGGAGAAAAAAGAGGAAGAAGAAGAGGAAGAGGAAGACATCAAAATGGAATCAGAAGACAAATCTGAAACTATGGAAGAGGAGAGAGAAGATATCAAAGTCGAACCAGAAATAATCAACAAGACTGACATATTTACTGATTTTATGATGGAATTTGAAGCAAAACGGACAAAGGAATTGGCGATCAAGGCTGAAGAGAAGAAGAAACAGCTGCGGCAATTGATCCGTGTAACTTGAGCGTGGTAACTTGGTAGCTTATTATTTCAGGAATATACAGAATGTCCTGTATTTTGATGTCGCAATTCAATATTATTAGATAAGTATGTCGTGACCCTAAATAATTAAGCTACCACAATACGAATAAATGACAGGATCGATCTGTCTTTAATTTTGAATAAATCTCTAAGCGCTGTGATATGAAAGGTAGATTGAACGGAAGAAAGATGATGATGCATCTGAAGAAACGCTGATCACGCCGGAAGATGAAGATATTATGAGTGACCGAGTATCCACTGAAAGTTCGATTCATCCATGTTTACGCAAGATAGATATCAGCGATTCTCAGCTGAAATTAGTGAATCTGTATACGGTGTACCAGGTTCCGAACGATCCCGGATTGCTACCAGCTTTCTGGCTGTTACGTGAACGCCCACCGATTTACAGCACGGATGGTGTGCAGAAATTTTACGACATAGTAAAACGCGCCGGTTTGAGATCAATTGGTTCGTTGAAGGATATGCTCTTAACAGATCAATTAAATTTGTGTTATTATGGACTTAAGTCACCAGTAATGAGAGCGATCTGTGAGGCTTTGGCCGACAACACTTTTGTACGAAAACTGGATTTGAAGGTACAATAAGCTTAAGTAACAATCTATATGGATTGTATAAAATCCTAAATAAAATAATACTAAATATCTTAAAATACTATAAAAATGATTATTTGTTTGAAAACTGTCTACGGATTAGAACTTGAATTTTTTGCTCTATGATGCAAATGTTACTTTGAGTTGATTAATAAAATTTTTTTTCCAATTAACTATTTTTTATATTTTTTATTATAGGACAATAAACTATCCGTGAATGCGTGCAAATATCTAAATGATTTATTACTTAGAAACAACACGATAATCGATTTATCACTATCGGGTTGCCGAATTGGTACAAATGGCGCAAAAAAATTGTATGACGCGATATCGGAGAACACAATCCTGAAGATGCTCGATCTCAGCAGTTGCGACATCGGCAATGAAGGCTTCGGATACATCGCGTCTGCATTATCTAATAACCAAGATTTGGAGAGTGTTGATCTATCCGACAATCATTTGGACGAGACGTGCTCAGAAAGTCTGCAGAATTTGCTCTCGCACTCCAAAAGCTTGACGCATCTGAACTTATCCTGGAACTCTCTGTATGACGCAAAAATCTGGAAGGCTCTGGTCGATGGGCTCAAGAAAAATGAGACGCTGCGTTCCCTGAATTTATCTTGGAACGCACTTGAACAGGAATGTGTGCCTCATCTTTACAACCTATTATCACGCTCGCGGAACATTGAGAAGCTGAACTTAAGTTGTAAATATACATTAGGTTTTTAAGAATGCATATTTATATTAACGTTTCTACGCACACAATTATAAAAGAAATAAAAATTAAAAATCGTCAAGTAGACAAAAAACCTTTTATCAAAAATAATCTTCCTTACTTATTTTTTTTTTTTTTTTTTAAGAATGGCACAATTTTTTCAACATTCATTATTTATATATTTCATTATATAATAAAAAATGAAATAAAGTGTCATAAAATATGAATATGTAGCAGTCACTTGAAATATTTTTTCGGAGGAAATTAATTTCAAAAGCACGTGTTCTTTTCTTAAGAGATTAATTTTTTGTGATTCAAAGGGAATAGATTTACCGAAAAAGATGCTGAAATCATAGCAGAAGGTCTATCGAAAAATAATACGCTCCAAGAATTACAACTGGGAAACAATCCTTTGAGAGCACAAGGTGTTTCAGCTTTGGTTCACGCAATTAGGCCGAACCTATCGCCCAATAATGCTTTACGTCTTTTGGACTTAGAGAACATTTGGGCAAATAAGGATATTCTCGAAGACTTGGAGATAACCGAAAAATTCAGACCATGGGTTACAATTAAATTAGGCGGTATTCTGAGCAATTATCAGCTCGTTGGACCAAATGTTAGAAGAATACTTCTGAAGAGAGCGAATTACGAGGCAATGCTACCGAAACGAAGGAGGCAACGACGCAACTTCGGCCAATTTGTGATATCGTTGACGGACAAACTAATAGCACGAGGCATGTTCGCACGAATTTATTACAGATTTTTTCTTAGTTTTCTCCAAATTTATGAAAAATCGTAATCATTCGTATTTTAAGAAAATTAACAGATTTCTTCATTCTTATAGCAAAATTTATACAGCTAGTGCAAAAGTTTAAGCTAAAGCTTTCTACATCGCTTATCGATGAGATAATGAATGTATTCGAGGGGCCGCATAACACTGTCAATCAAAAACTGTTAAAATCATTTTATTTGGAAGAATATCCAGAAACGACACTATTAACATTGAAGAAAAAGAAATTAAAAAACGTCAAACATACAAAAAAAGAGTAGAAAGTGGAATTAAAAAATGAAAAAATACAAGAAACAAAAATTAACATAGAAAACAATAAAAAATAAATCAAAGAATTAAAAAAATGTATATTATATTGTTATGTGATAAATGATTTTTTAAAAATCTAGAATCTCTTTATAATACTATATTACATATTTCACACCATAAAATATGTGATAGACTATAATAAATATCATTTTGCATAAACTTATCAAGCATTAATCTTTGCTTTTAGTGGGGTACTGAATACAATAGCTAAATTTATTTATATATATATATGTGCATATAAAATTTAATCTATATAAAATATTCTTGCTGCAATATCATCAACAATCCAATTAATACCATCGACTAGATTTTCACCCGTCATAGCGGAGCACTTATAAATTTGCCAATGATGAGTCTTTACATTGGGTAACTCCAGAATATCGGCTATGTCAGCTGCAGATAATGCACCAGGCATATCCTGCTTATTGGCAAATACAAGAAGACTTGCCCCTTCCAATCTTTCCTCTTGCAAAAGCTTGTACAATTCTGTTTTGCAATCATCCAATCTCCTTTTGTCTGCACTGTCTATCACCCAAACAAGTCCATCTGTTGACTCAAAATAATTTCTCCAATAGGAACGTAATGATTTTTGCCCACCCACATCCCATACGTTGAGCTTGTATCCACGATGTTCTAATGTCTTGATATTAAAGCCAAGCGTGGGCGATATAGTGTCTATTGGTTCACCATTGAGTCTCTTCAACACTGTCGTCTTGCCTGCATTATCCAAGCCCCTGAAATTTTAACATAGCATTGCTAAAAGCAAATGAAGAAACGCGTATATATTTCAAATGATTATGTTTCAATCATTTAATGCATTATAAGTTTAGTAAGCGTAATATTTATTAACCTGTGTAAATCAACCATAAGCTGGATATATAAAATAGATACACAAACACAAATACGTACAACATTAAAATTCGCATCTCCTTTTCTTTCTGCTTCAATTTTTTCAGCACCGTTAACAGACCCATTGTCAATCCATTAATTACTCCACGATGTTCAGATCGTTAACAAATAAATGTTTGTAATGCAAACAAAATTTCTTCGAGTTTGACAGAAACGTTTCTAACCTCCAATCCAACTTGTTAATTGTCCACAAATTACACAATCGGTAAAAAGCATATGTAAAAACGCCACACCTTGTACTGATTAGATACTATTATTAAAAATGATCAGCTGAGTGAATTTTCATATGTTATCAAGTGAGTGATAGATACAGCTGGCTGCACCCAGATAACCAAGCATGCGATACCCGCACCAACCCGCACAAGATACCACTACCGTACTGTTACTGTACTGCCACGAGATGGCTGCACCCAGATAACCAAGCATGCGATACCCGCACCAATCCGCACAAGATACCACTACCGTACTGTTACTGTACTGCCACGAGGTGGCGGTGTACAGCGTAACTGTACGATAGCAGTTCAAAAAATGTACATGATATCACCGACGAGATACTAATATATACTATTAAAGACCGACATCCTTACGGGAGATCGCGTCCTTGTGAATATTGAAGTTAAGAATTAAAAACTGATAATATTGTACTAATTTTATGATTTATTAGTTTAGTAAATGTATTTATGCATTTATAACTCAATAATACTCAATTTTTCTTTAAAATTAAGATTTTAGTGTTATAGTTTGATTATCAATATAAAGATGATAATTATATACATACTTGTAAAGCTGTAATATTCTATATATTGCAAAAAAATCACAATTTTTTCTCTGCAATTATCATCTTTATATTGATAAATGCATGAGCCAAATATTTATGTTAATAGCAAATTTATATCAATTGTCGGTAATGTCAGCGTTCTTGAATTACCTCTGGGCCCTTGGGGCCCTTTTTATACCGCCGAAAATTTGCCCAGGGTTGACGGTCTTTAATAATATCTCGTCGGTGATATTATATATATGTAGACAAAAATTTGAGTCACATCATTATCAACTATCTCAATATAAATTTTTTATCAACCTATGAATACAAAGTTATAGCGATAATATGAAATTGTAATTCTAAACTTTCTCTGATTGTTTATACAATTTTATATTTTCCTACATTTATTTACATTTTTTGGAATACGAGTATTTTATTTTAGGGACTTACATTTTATTCACATTAAATTTAATGACAATTAAATATGTGTACGTGTTCTTGTCAAATAGTGTTACCACCGTTTTACTTGAATACATGTACAACACGAACGGAGTTAAAAGAATCGAGTCACTTAGAAACACTATTGATTTATCAACACAATTCAATTGTCTTTTTGCTCCTCTGCTCTTAACATTACATGTTTCACACCTCGAATTCATATCATTAAATATATACTCTTCATTCAAATAAAAGTCTTGTATTTCCTCCATGAAAACGTAACAAATAGTAAAAGATTCACAATTATAAATTTCCAATAAATTTTTTGTAACGTTTGCAAATTATGGAATGTTTGCATGACTACACTGGTTAAAAAGTTTATACGTAATTTATATAAATATATATATATATATGTGTGTGTGTGTGTACAACATATGTATATATTAGGTAGAAAATTTGTCAATTTTTTTTTCTCTATAAATATCGCTTGAAAAACGACACGAACGGTACCTAATACATATATGGCATATTTTATATATTTAATTATATACATATATATTTATATTTAATTATATATAAACTATACGGGTAAAGCCGGTTGAAAGTTAAATAGTTTATCAAGCATTGTGTCACCAACTTTACTGTTAATAAATAGCATAAAACTGACACAACAGATAATTTAAAAAACTTGTTATTTTTTATCTTATATGCAATCTCACATTTATAAAATAGAAATGCAATCATTAAGGATTATTAGTAATGTCTTTCTAATAATACTTTTGCTGCTTTACTAATAACTTCTGGATGACATAAAGCATTGATAAGAGATTCAAAAAATGAGTCATATTGAGGATTAGGTACATAATCTCCAGATGCACTTGTTTCTTCTGATGGATACTTCTCCTTGTCTCTTTTACGTCTTTCTTCAATAAATTCTTTAAATTCGTGCTCCTTTGCATCAGGTAACAATTTAACATAATAGGGGTATTCTTCTGCTAATTCTGTTGCAGTTTCTGGTTTAGGTTTAGGTCTTTTCGCTGGTATTTTTGGAACCATCTCCGTTTGTTTCTCCTGCTCCTCTTCTTGTGCACGTTCAACAGCACATTCGACCTAATGAAATAGTTGTATAGATTAAACATAAGTTCTATCTGTATTTAATCAACAATATTGATGTTTCTTAGAAGAAAAAATTACTTCTGTTGTATAATATGTAGTTAACTTATTCGGAAACTGATTATAATCTCCCATCTTGGCTATTATCAATTTTACTAGAGCTTCCTCGACTCGTGCTCTGCTATCTGTTTTCAGTTTTCCCCATATATTAACGCTTACATTGACTTTATCTAAAGATTCCACGTAATGCCACCAACCATTAGGCACAAATAAAACATCTCCAGGTTCTAGAGTTATTAATTTTGGTTTGTCTGGTATATCCAACAAACAATCTTTTTCTTCTTCACTTAGGCAATAAATATTAAATCTGCTATATACAGTCGACTCCTCGTAAGGAAGTCTAACTGGTATCAGAGAAGCATTAGGTGGATAAAGCAACCATTGTTTCCTATAAATAAAATAGATACAATATAAACAGAAATATTAAAATTAAAAAATAATTGAAAAATACGAACCTGCCATGTATTTGTGCTACTAAATTATAACCATAGGTATCCCAATGACAATCAGTATGAGCACCTTTGCCTCCAATCCAAATAGTAGAATGCATTCCATTTTTACCAAGTTCTTTGTCAATCCCGAATTTGAGCCAATTAAAAGATTCTATAATGTCTGTATTATCATTGAGCCACTCTTTTATATGCTTATAATCACAGTAATGCCATATATTATTCTGCTTTGTTTCTTGTAAATCAATAAATTCTTGAAACGTTAATTGAACTGGTTTTACAGGAGGACTCAAGCACCAATGATGATGTTGAAGAACACACTAAGAAATAAATTCAACTAAACTGTTAACAATAATACCAATAAAATCATTAAAATAATATATAAATAAAAATATATCACCATAACTTACTGTACGCTTGTTATGATTACCAATTCGAAATGGTAACTTCTTATTTCCAAACTTTTCAACCAATTCAGTCAGGCTCCACTGAAGTAATTTCCATTCATAAGAATTATCAGAATTTTGTAACATGTTCTGAAACAATATAGGTTCTTCAAGTTCTGGTAGAATTTCTCTCAAAATATCTTCCAAGGGTTGTAAATGGCGACTCATATTTTTAATTATCTTATAAGGTACAATTGTTAAAATTAATCACTTTTCTTATCTTAATTGAATTATAAAATAATTGATGCTTTGAGATTAATGATTTCAATTAAATAAATCTCTGAAACTACATATCGATGCTTATCTTTCAGATATTATCTTGTTTGTAAACTTTGATATTATCTCATTGATATTAAAATATATATGATAATTTCGACGAATATTCTAGCCCAATGCCTGATTTACACTGCGACATCTAACGTATATATATATATGATGATATGACATCCAATAAGAGAATTCGTTTATTCCTAGGGTTTCTAGTTAAATATTTTTGTCCAGGAGGCAATTCTCCTATTGAATTCGGAAAAAACGTGAATTCTGCATAAAACTTCAAGATCTGTTTGCCTTGCTTGAAATCTTCAAAAATATTTAGATTAAAATGAGATTAATTTATATTTAGATATTTGCTGGATTCACACTGCATTGAAGGCCTAGATAACAGAGACATTGAAGGGTATGGTCTGATTGGCTGTCTAAATCGCGGGATCAGAGCGCCATTTTAATTCATTACTGCGTATAATTAAAGTCCTAGAGAACTCTATTTATAGAATCTAAAGGCCCGTCTACAATACACGGAGTAAGAAGTAAGAGTAAGAAATTGACCAATCACAGTCGAACGAATGTGAGAAGAATAATCGACTGTGATTGGTCAATTTCTTACTCTTACAACCTAATCCACTACTGCTACTGTCATTGTAGACCACACATAAGGGTGCCGTCAAGGCCCGTCTACAATACACGGAGTAAGAAGTAAGAGTAAGGCTGGATACCCATGAGGTGTATTTACCGCGCATCGCGTAACCGCGTAACCAATCAGAAGCTATCCGCTGTTGTGGTTTCGCGTTTTACTGATTATTGATTGGTTACGTGGTTATACGATACGCGGCAAATACGCTTCATGGGACATCACCCTAAGAAATTGACCAATCACAGTCGATTATTCTTCTCACATTCGACTGTGATTGGTCAACTTCTTACTCTTACTTCTTACTCCGTGTATTGTAG